AACTGACCATCAAGTGAAATGGCCCAGAGATACATAATTTCAAAGCAGACAAGGTTAACAAAGTGGCTCATAACAGCAGCACAATGTCTTTAGCTTTCTAATAATAGAAAATGCAGAAGAAATCAGTTCATTTTAGAAATACATTTACATTAACTGAATTTTGAAAAGAATGGTCAAGGTCCCTGCCCTTTTGTAAGATCTTCCTTTGGCAGCAACATCTTACCTTAATAGTATTAGGCATACAATGTAATTTTCAGGCAGGCTAAGCATCTTAAAGGTTAATTTTCAATTGGCTTTAAGTACAATCTTTTCTAAAAATCACACTTACCCAAAGTTTCAAACTTTGTTTGTTCCAGTTTGCACACTTTAGCTTTCTCCACAGTTCACCTGACATCTTTTTAACTAGTACAACCAGGAGTCAGTTCTTACATCTCAAGTTATGGTTACTCAAGCACTCACAGAGAAATCTGAACTTCAAAAGATGTTGGTAGTGATCCAAATAATATCAATGTCCTGCAGTATTGCTACTTTCATTTATATTGATACATTACAAGCAATCTCTCATGTAGCTTATACAAAGAGTTATACATGCATTTTCATTTTCTGCCACTGGAGAAATAAACGATAAAGTGGCAAAAATAATGTTTATTATGAGTAAGAGGACTCTCAGAAATTAGCTCAGTCATTTACCCTAATTGTGATTCCCAGTCCTTGTCTGTTTATCACATACTGGTAGCCTGGTAAATATCCTCTTCCACAATTTCAACACTGAATCAAATTCCCTGTAATCAGGAGCACATGTTTTGGCAGAGATTTAACAAGATAAATGCATAGTGCTGTTATTGAGGCTATTCTGAAGTTTTACAAATTAATGCTTTCCTGGTAGCTCTAAAATGCAGAATATACATTCAACAAGCACATAACTACATATTTGATCAGAGATGTGGCAATCACTTCAAATGTTTCATGATAGTGCTATGCTTCAGAGTGTATGTCTGTTTAGGAAGATTTCTTGGTTTCATGTGCACAGTGGCATAAAACAAAGCTGTTTCCCAGACAGATGCTCTTCCCAGTCATACTCGTGTTACTGAGAACAAAAACTGGAAGGCATGCAACCAGTGTATTCTTCCATAAGTAAAGATTTCAGCAGGTACCAAGATCAAAGTTTAATACAACCTATAGAAGATTTAGGTCACTTATACAGGTAACTCTTGCTCACTTTTAAAAAAAATATTAAAAGACAAAGTTGAGCAAATGCACAACTGGTCACCAGAGGAATTCTATGCTAGTCTGTGCTGTCCTATAATTAAAAACAAACTAACCACAGACACTCTATGTCTGTTCTTCATGGATACTTCTAACTTTTCACATTATGTATGTCCCATAAACTGCTAGTGTAAATAGATAATGAATAGAGCATATTCAGAACTTGTACATTTTCCAAACACATATAATAATAAAAAGAATTTTGCACTATGCACTACTTATGCACAATTATTTATGCACTATTAAACACTATGGATGTCCATCATTGAGTATATCTTGTAGAACTCAATAAAATTTTCAAAATTGTCTTTTTGTAAATCTAGAATGCTATTTTGCTTCCTTTTTTCCCCTTTCTCCAGAGGCTTAACCTTCAATCATAAGTTCTTTGTTTTCCATTCATGATGAATAATGGATGAAATCCATTAAAACCCACACTGTACCACCACAACGTATTTTCTAAGAATGCCATGTCAACCATAAATACAAATAAGGTGCAAAAGCATAATAATAAAACCTAAGTTTTGTCCAAGTCACCATAGCTAGGCCCTTAGGCAAAGCACACTGAGAGCAACCTCTAACCCCCCACTCATCTCAGCACATTTTAGATAAAGCCTTGAGCATCTCAGAACTTAAAAAGCTTAGTTTATCTCAATATTTTTCCTATTGAAAAAGAATGTGCAGAACTTCTATAGTATATATTAATTCTGCCTACTTTCCAGGCTTTCGTGATGCCATTTGTCCAGTCCCATACAGTCAAACTGCATGAAAAGTATTGAACACCTTAGTAACTAAGTTTCATATTGTTACAAGTAAAATCTAAAAGAAATGAAACTCTTCAAACAATGTTTTTTATAGAGTTCTAATACACCTATATGAAAAGCACTTCATTACTTAGAAAGAAAAAAAAAAATTGCACACTAGATAGCAACCTTGTAAATAAACTGTTTCTGGTTCATGTCTTATTAGGAACAACACTCTGAAAACTCTAAGTAAAAAAGTAAGTTTAAAACTAAAAAAGGATAATGTTTTCTCATTCAACCAAAGAGAATTCAACTGTAAAAGCAAATAATAAAACTAAAATTGCTGGTAAAAATGCAACTATTTGCAACACACGGAAATTCTCCATGATCTTCTTTCAAACAGATATGTGCTCATGTGCTTTTCTTTCATTTCTTCTTAGGTTTTTTTCCTGGCCATTTAACCACTCAGAATCTCCAAACTGTTTGTTTTTGTTTTTGTTTTTTTTTTAAAAAAGGCCTCCCTGTGCAGGAAAATACTGTTACTACTGAATCTAAGAAACTTTAAGAGCATACACAGGCAGTTTTCTTCCCATTCCTTCATCTATCACAGCACCTCCTCTCACTGTAGAGCTGTATATAGCTAAACTCTCTGGTCATCCACAAGAAGTTGTGACAATTTTTTGTTCATATTTCTCAATAACCAACCAAATGAGGAAGAAAACTTGTGTGAGCAACAAACCACCAGTAAATACAGCTGAGAAAGCTATAGTTTTAAGTTTAAACTTTTCTGTGTAAATTGTCAATAAGTAGTAAAGTTTTTTCTTTTACAATTAGCCTCCCACTGCAACAACTCACACCCAGGATGTGATAATTGGAAATGATGCTAACTTTTCACTTTTCATATTTTTTTAATATGAAAGAAACATGGAACTGTGTTCACTGCATCCACGTAAGTTTTCCTGACTATCAGGAAAAGATAAGCTCAACTACTGGGTCATATTTCCCCTCTTCTGTCTTTCACGTAACAGCAGATATCAGCAACATTAAAAAGACACAAAATTAGTGCATCCAGAGAGTACTATAACATGTTATTTCTCACCATCATGAACAAGTGTGCCAAGCAGAAACTGCACTTAAAGAGATATTCACTGGATGACTTCATTTTAATCTGTACTGCAGATATAACTCAAAAAAAAAAAAAAAAAGGTCAGGCAATTCAAGTGTTGTTGCAAACAGAAGATGTCATTGTTCAAACACCAAATATTTTTCTGGAATTATCTTCTTTTGTACTTATCTGCCAGAAACTCAAAATCGCTATGCAGCTTCAGAAGGAAAAAAAATAACCACTAAACATGAAGTGGAACATTCTGGGGTACATCATATTCCAGCTTTTGCTTATCAATAGTCTAGATGTAAAAATGCTTAAGGGAAGGCTGAACTTTGAAAACTCAAAGCTTTGTAGGCAGTACATGACAGGTACCCCTTAATATTACCCTTTGCTGCTCATCTATATGGACAGCAACATCAATTCTAAAGACTACTAGCAAATCAGAGGTGTCTAAACAGCACTGGAGAGAAGGATGAACTGCACAGGGGCCCAGCTGGTCTTCTAGATCCTGCCAGTGGGGGAAAAGGCAGGTGGATCCCATGGATCAATATGTGCTTGCACAGCAGGTGCCACCAACAGATTTGGCTCTTAACAGTCATGGGACTAAGGATCTCTAATGATCAAGGACTGCTGGGAGATGTGGTGAAGAAATGGTGGATGGGCTGGAAAGCAAACGGTGCATGGTGACAGGAACAAGAGAAGCCTAAGAAATGACACAGCAGGATGAAAATAATAGAGCAATCTAGGAAACAATCAGAAAAAAACAGAGCTCCTCTAGTGGTCACAGAACTGCAACATCATCAGAGTAACAGAGGTGTTGGGGTAGGATTTAGATGTTTCTAAGAACTTCTGCATTAGTGGAGTGGTGTCTGGGCTTGAGAATGTGTAGCTAGTACCAGCAGAGTGGAGGAATATGTGAGAGCCAGAAAGACAGAACTAACCAACTTGTCAACAAGTTAAGTTTCCACAAAGATCTATGCACCTGAATTTGACTGATTATTCAATGCTTTTGAACCAAATACTAACTGTTCAGTATTGTTAGCTTTCTTTCCACTAGCTAAAGTCTTATTTTTCATTGTCTTTTACTGGCCAAAAGGTCAGTCTTTTCCTGCATTTTTCAGCTATCTGCCAACATTCCATCAATGACTCAAAATTCTACAAAAATCATTCAGAGTGAGAGGAATGTTAAAAATCTTCAGAAGTCTTGTTCAGAGCTAAGTACAGCTGACTGAAACAAAAGTGGAAAAAAATTGCAACTGCTAATAATCCTCCAATAAAGAAACACAAAACAGCCTGGGACAGCATATTAGAGAGCCTGCCATCCTATCCATGGAGGATATCGTTGTTCTGAAACTGAGAATCCAGGAATGAAGGAGCAGTACAAGATTTCAGTGCTGCAACTACAAGGCAGCTTAAAGTGCAAATCCCTTAATTAAGACCTGGCTGAAGAAGAATACACTATGAACACGTCCAATGGCATACAGTGAAGCCTTGCTGCACCACTCGAAGTATTTTTGAGTGAGCTACTACAGGAAGCCACATCTGTCAAGCAACACTTCTAGTCATTGAAATCCCCAAAATTGAAATAGAATATGTACATCTATATTGAAAAAAGCATTACTGATTAATATTGAATTGTTGTATTCCCTGGCCAATGCACTCATGTTATCAGCATTTTTTTTAAAATATTAAACTATTAAAAGTCATCCCTCAAAGTATGCTATTTGGATAATCAACACAATCCTATGGATCAATATATATGAAGTTACTGCTGCTGCTGTTCATTAACTGATCTCTAATGAAACATTGAGATGTTTAAATTATTACGATGTGCCATTTCAGTCAGAATCTTTTACACAGAACCTGTGTTAAGATGTATCACTTACCTGATAAACATGGAATGCATTAGCAGCTTTTCCACGCAGAAACACTGAGGGAATCCAAACATTAATCAGAGCACGGTTTGATCTGAGGAGGAAAAAGAAAAACTTGAAATAAGGAATCATATTTATGTATCAAAATTGCAAAGCAAGTACCTCTAGAGATTTAGATCATTATCAAAGTGATCAACAAAGCAACTTAATATTTCAAATGGAGTATCAGAAATATTGTAGTCCTGCCTGAACCTTTTATACCTGCTGTGTAAAAGTTTTTCCTAAAATTAACATAACAAAAAAAAAAAAAAAAGAGCAGGGAAACAATTCCCTTTGCAGTTTTTTTGGGTTTTGTTTTGTGGTTTGTTTTGTTTTTCTACAGCATGCATTTGACAACATTTGATTATACACATGAAACAAAAACTATTAATTTAAACAAGCTCAACATTTTGGTCCACAAAATCCAGCAAAAAACTGAGTTCATTAAATAACAGAAAAGCACTGTAAAATTATGCAGAAGCCATTTCTATCCATTCTTTGTAACTCATCTCCAAATATCTATCATTCAAAGACATCATCTACACTTTTACTCCCTCATCCACAAAAAATTAGATTCATTAGTCTGACAAATAAACTCCAAATCACAATACTCTAGAATGATCTGAGATGACCAACAGGGTTGTTTGTAGAGGCTTTTTATAGTATTATTTGTGTACACTGATTAAGAGTTATTCTGTAAAAATGAGAAAGTCCACAACATTATGAATAGCATCTGGTATATATCAAACCCAAAGTAACAGAAAATTACCTTTTTGGTGTTTTGTTAGAATACCAAGACCAAGCACACTCAAACAGCACTCCAAGAGAGTGCTCCAAGTACTCCTCTTCATTAATCTAAACTCCTTGCATTCTACATTATTAAAAACTACATTGGGGCACGGACTGTGCAGCTCTCCAAATTTTTAACAATGGAACACTGAAGCTGACAATTCAGTTATTTGAAATAGTACAGGAAAAGCAGATCACTTGAATCTCTTTGCTTATTCTTCTTTCCCATAAAGACAATATGAAGAGAAAAATGCATATTATGAAGCTTACATTTCAAAATCTGACAAACTCTGATCTTCAGACGTCTGACTCAAATCTCCAGGGACCTATATTAACAAAAGAAAAATAATTCATACACTCTGGTTATTATGCATTCTATTAAGAAAGTGTAAGATTGTGAGGAAACTAAAGCTGAACATTCAATAACTGATAAATAATAAAAGAAAAATAAACAATCATGCAACAGGACCATGAGCATATCACCCTCGCATGTTGCTCATGTTAGAATTTGGTATAGTTTTGTAAAGAAACAAACTGGGGTTTGTAGCAGCATGTAATTTTGGAATCTATAGAAAACCCAGGAAAAAAAGCATCATTAGCAGGCCTTTATAAGCAAAGTTTGCTAAAACGAAGTACATTGTGTGTATAAACAATTTATGGGAAGAGATGAAGCATATAAAAATCTAGTGATTGCTTCCTTTTACAACCTACATTCCATTAAGAGAGAGACATGATCATTTTACTTTAGCTGTGTTCTTACAAAATGTTACACAGCTATAAAAGTTCATAAAGATGGCAATGATGGAGTAACACCAGCAGAATCAAAAGAAGTAGCAGTTGTAAGAAAACAAGGTTGAAAGAGCATTTAGAAATGGAACAGCAACAGCTTTTTACCTTACTTTAAAGCTAGTTAAACATAAAAGGATATCTTCTCTCCTTTAAATACTGTAAAATGTAAAGCATAACCCAGAATAGTTAGTGTTTGATGAAGAAAAACAGATAAAAGTTGTGAAATTCCAGAGACAGCTTCTACATTAATTAAATACTGTTTCAGTGTATCTCTATAATATGTTGCATGCATATTACTCTCTCAAAATATTTGCTAAGAAACTTAAATATATGAAATTTTATATTTTATATATGTGTTTATTGTAAAGCCATACATATTTATTGCAAAGCAATATAAATTTCAAAGGGGACTAAAGAAAACCTACTTCCCAGACATTTTGAGAGACCAGCTTTTAAAATCTCCCCATATGCAAGACAAAAATGAATTTTGCCTTCGCAAGATTAGACAGATATGGCTCAGCAAAAATTGTCATTCCTGCCAGAGAAAGGAAAAGAGGAAAACAATTGTGCAGAGCCAAGACAGCTCCAGGGCATATCTACAGAATCCAGAATCCTACTGCTGTCTTTTTTTGGAGGAATGAGGTGGGAAGGGCCAGTCTGACCTCTCTCTCCATCACCACCATCAGCTGCTCCCTGTTCACACAGCAGTCCACCCTCCAGTGGCAGCACAGAGTCTGGCTTTCCACAGCTCTTGTGCCAGAAACCAAACTTTCCTCTATCTCCCAAACAAATTTACCTGCATCCTCTCTTTGCCTTTATCTGCAGTGGCAAATCCTACCATCAGATATATACAGCTATTTTAATTAACTTCAGGAAATGTTTTGTATAAAAATTTCAAAAATAGTGTGTGGACATTGGAAATAAGAAAAAGGATGACATTAATGAGTCCTAGCGCTTGCACATCTACATTGAAACAGACTGGTTGCTGATTCTGAGATGGTAACTGAAGTGTTGTCCACTGTAATTCAAAGCAGCAATGGCAACATTACATCAATGTACTTCCTCATAACCCTTGGAAGTACATACTTTTGTTTTAATATTCCTCTGTTTGTTGCAGAAGTTCTGAAAACCAGTAACCAGAAATTTGGAAAGATTATTGTGACCAATTTTTTTTTTAATTACAGCCGTTAGAATTCATTATTAGCATTAAAGGAAGACTGTTATAAAAATAACTTCTGTAATTCTTAACTAACTGTAATTATATACTATTGTAATGAAATGTTAAGCACTTGACTGATATTTTCAAACAAGTCAAAGGGGGATTCCACAATTTCTGGCAGTTACAAACTTTACCAACTTTGAAAGTTGCAAGCCTACTAAGTAACAGATGGTAACACACATGTTTACTAATACAGAACTAAAAGTATCCACTTCTTAGGATAAAACAAAAATCTTCAGGACTGTATTAAATCCACAGTTTCATTTTGGACAACAGCAACTAATAACAACCAGCATTTACCTAGCCCTTAAAAATACAGTATCACTTCTACTGCATAAAGCTTTAGGAATTAGTTTTCCTTCAGCATCTGATACATTAAAATAGAGTATCAGTATCCAGCTACTGGATTAGGATATGGAGACACATGGTTAAAACCAGAACTTCTGAACAGGAACATACAGCCCAAAATCTGAGTAAGAAAATATGGTTATAATTCACATGTGATTTATCATTTGTCACCTTGTGATTGTTTCCATCTAAAAGGCTGAAAATAATATATGAAATCCCACTTCACTATGCACCCAGAACTGTCACCAGCCATTTCACATAAATGTTATAATAAAATAGGCATGAATGCTTCCAGTGCAAACAACAAATAAGGAGCAATACTATATTATCCAAAAAAAAAAAAAATCAAAATACGTCTTCCTCAGAAGATGGACAACTATTAGTAACATTGTTGACTCCTGTTTCTTCCCTGTTCATTTCTGAATTTCAGCCTAATCTTTTCTTTTAACACAAAAGCTAAAGTGAAACAATACTTGGCAGAAAACAATCTTATTGTCTGAATATATCTATTTTACATTCAATTTTGCTAAAGAGAATCAAACGTTATCAACAATACCTACCAAGGTGTTCTTGATAGATCTATTATTAGCTGTTATTTCTTACAAACCAATTCATCACAGCTAATGGTTTTGAGCTTATTCCTGAGTGATAGTCCACATTGTAATAAACAAACACTTACTGGCCCTCTCAAATCAATTAGTTCTTGTCTCATCTGGGACACAAGAGCTTCTTTAGCCATCAGAGCACGGTGCAGCCTCTCATTGAATTCAATCAGTTCTCCATGCATTTCAGCTACCTGAAAAACAAAGCCAAGAGATAAAAGTCTTCTAAACTGAAAAATAATAAAGATACTATGTAATTTTACATGTATATCAACTATTATTTATATTTTTAATTTTACCATATTCTCTAAGTAGTATATCTCATTGCTAATGCATTAGTTTGAACTGACCATTAAGAACAGACATTCATTTTTGTTAAAATAATTCTGGTTCACGCCTTGAAATGTAGGTTTTGATATTGAATTCAATAGCACAAAATAAAATTTTATGTTCAATTCCATTCCCATCAGAGGTGGTCCTATGGCAACTGGCTCTAATAAAACACTTAACTTCTGCTCTCAGATAAACTCTTCAATGAACACAGCACTCAAGAGTTGCAAACTAATCACAATATTTTGGACTGGGAACAACGCATTAAACTGCAACAAACTTTGTCAATGGTTCACTAATAAAACATTCAGTGCTCTTGGAGTTTTAATTGGATTGGACCTAGAATTCCACTCACCCCAGGCAAACCTGTGAGGAGTCAAAGGTGCATAAATACCACAGTTATGCTGTGGCACAAGTTGTCGTGCCCAGGTAAATAGCATGGCCTCCATGGCCTCTTCAGACACAAAGTTTAGCTATGTCTGGCCTCTCTGTTTTTGAGTCAAAGCATCAAGAAACCACCAATTGCTGCAGGATGTTTATGAAAGTGAACAGGGCTGGATGAATGACAAGGATGAAAAGTATACTAGTTTAGAGAGCAAACTATGTTTAAGTTGTTTCCCTGCCAAAAGAAGCAGAAAACAATAAAACGCAAATCAAGGTTAAAGATGATACTGAGCTCCTGAACTTTTCTTACACAGAAGTGAAAGCCTACAGCTTAAAGGGGAAGGACTCCGAAAGGACAAAGGCTCCCAAATAGCAAAGGTCTAAATAGTAGCAGTAGAGAACGTGATGGGAAACGAGCAGCAATGGAGCAAGGCTAAAAGAAACTTAAATCTGCATTCAGCACTATTTTTAGCTCGTATCAGAACCATCAGAGTATAAAATTGAATTAAAGTTTCAATTATGATGGATGACACACATCAGCATATAATATACCTGACAAGGGAGTTGTCTTGAACCGGTAATGCTACTTGTAGCCTTAGAGCAAAGAAATTTGAGTCAAAAACGGGTTTGTAGAATTACTTTCAAAGGAAAAGAAAGGCTCTTGAGAAAATCACACTGGTAGAAATTTTCAAGTAAATCCTCTCTGTATGACTCTTGTATTAAAGAAGAGGAATACTGATGAGGGCCCCTGTCAAAGATGAAGCACCAGCTGAGCAGACCTAGGCAGGAAATGCCTCCTCATACAGCCATCCAAAGCTAGGAGAACAGCTGAGACAATGGAGTAACATTATGAAAGCACAGATGAATAAGACAAGTATCAACCCACCACCCTCAACAATAGCATAGTGACTTGGACTACTGTCAATCTCCTAAGAGTTCATTTCCCTTCTGGAAGCAGTTCACCACTACCCATGAATTTCATGCTTTCCTTTTCTTAAATTATAACTCAGCTTTCTCCCTCTTCCCCAGGGAAGTTCCCAAAGATAAAGCAGTTTAATTAAATTGTTTAATTTAGTGCTTGCGTTTAATTTAGTGCTTTGTTTCAGAAAACGTGTATCACTCACATAATCAAAGCAAACAGAAAAAACAGCTTCAGTTTGACAAGGCAGGAGGAGCTGACATCACTGAATAAAAATAAAAAATAAAATATACCTGAGTGTTTTTCAATTTCTTTTTATATTATAGGGAGCCCTTCAAATCCAGTCATTCATCAGTGTGGCATATATGCACAAAGAGCTAAACTAAGCCCAGATATGATTTGCCTAGACTGATCTCTCATTAATTCTGAATTTGCAAACTATTCTGAATTGCTCAGCAAATTACAAACTAAAGCCCAGTAACAGTAATCGAACTAACAACAAACTTGTCTTGTAATGGGACTATCAGGAAGTACAAAAGCTGAAGACTTCACAGAGTGGTTATTTAAACCCAAACAGGCAACCATTTTTGTTTGTTTGCCTGGTTATATAAGCTCTTTTAGATTAATATTGATGCTTTATCTTACACATCACAATATAAGAAGCTTGCAACATGTCTGAGTTACCATTTAGCTTCACTCCTCACTTTTCAATGTGCAAAGGTTTAATACAGTATTAATATAGTTTCAGCAATCAAAAATTTTTATTATCATTATTATTTATAGTGTACTAAAGCAGCCTTAATGTCATGGTTTTGGTTTTGTTCTAGTCAAGCATTCCTCTTGCACTTAATGCCATTTGAAATATTAACTTTCCAGCCTCATCATTAGACTCTTTTTTGGCTCCTCCTGATAAAAATCTGAACACTTCTGTGTTATCAATTAATGACCCTGTATTCAAACACTTTTGTTTTGAAAAAACAAAAGGTACTTAAATCCACATGAAATTCTGCATTACAACTAATGTAGCAGGTGCCACTTAGTAAGCAGTTTTGCCTCATAAATTGCAAATATTTATGCACCAAACAAAATTATCAACTTTGCCAGTTAAAGTCATTAATTCTGGATAAATTACTTACCATACTAGCTTAACCACTCATTCCAAATCAAAGTGTATGGTATATTATTTAAGAATCTCCTACACATCTACCTGATTAAGGTTAATATTAGCAGCTAATTTTAATTACAGAGAGCCTAAGCTAAAAAGCAGAACTTCCTTGTATTTTACATAGGAAAACAAGCAGTATGCTCCTAATTGCAAATACACAGAGAAAAAACAACTGATAGCTGTTTGATTGGTTATCAAAACCAATTATACAAATTTATGAATGGATGTAAAACTCAGTAGTTTACATATTTGACATCATATTTGATTTTTCACTGCCTGTGTCTATCAGAAGAACAAAATCCAAACTCTTTGCTGTCATATTTGACTCTCCCTCTATTTCAAGGATGTCCTTGAAATCACTTTCTGCTTGCAGGCTCTATTAACAAATAAATTCAACGGCTCTCTCAAAACACTGGAAATAATAAAAACATATCTAAGTGTCTTTAGCAAACTTAAATAATAAAAAAGAAAATTTAACAAAAATTAAAATGGAAAATCACTTGTTATATATTATCAAAAGGAAAAATGGGTGAATATATTACTTGTGAAAATAATTTTTATTAGTAATTAAGTTACTTCAATACTTTTTCTTGTCAAAGAGAAATGTATTACTATTACAGAATACCAAAAGGAATAATGAGACATACTTCTGAGTAACAATACTAATTGAGGCTCCTCTAATTTCTCCTGCATCAAGGTCTGTTAAAAACAATTAAGAGGTCTCCTTATAATTGTATCTTTCAGTTACAGTTTATGTTATCACATCTGCCTCTGTTCATTCCATGCCGAACCTTAAGCAATCATTTTCACTACTGGGGATTCAATCATCTTCACAGTTGTTTTTGTCTATGACAGTATATTTAAAGTAGAAAAATAAAATTCAAATTAGCTATGTTTGCCTTGACCAGATACCATTCTGATTTGGGCCTGGTCATATCAGAAAGCACACTTAGAGCTCCAGTCCTTATCCTGAAGGGGAAGCGCGACCAGCCTAACAGATGTAGACTCCACACTGACAGAACTCTAAAGACCTGTTGTCAAAAGAAAATCTAAGTCTACTCCTTCTGCAGCTGCGCCCTCCAGCACCACCACCCTTAACAACAGTCTCCAGAGAAATGACAAAGGTAAATACCAGCTCATGTTCCACAGCAAAGGACCAAGTCCTTAACTGAAAACATACTAGGAATGTTTCACTAAGCATATGAATAATACATTCTTAGAAGGACATGCTTTTAGAGAAACAGAAATTTAAGAACTTGCAACAAGAAAAAAATTAAAAGTATTTTTTTTTAAAAAGGGTGTTTTAAAAGGGTGGGTTTTTTAAAAGGTGGAACTCAAATTTGTAAAAATGCATTTTACAGCTAAAATGCATAAAAGTTTTTGCATGACCCACATCTGAATTAATGACTTCTTGTCAGGCATAGGCATATTTTGTCCCCAATTGTCACAAAATGCAAACCAACATATTTCTCAAGAAACTAAACAGAACTGGAAGTGGCTTCCTTTTGCTCTCAGTGGAAACATAGGTGTACTTTACTTTTCCCATGGCAAGATGCCCTTTGTCAAAAAATCAAGATTCTTCTACATTTTTTTCCACAGAAATAAAACCAAAGGTCTTAAAAACCCAGGAGGCACTCTACTAAATATTACTAGTTCCATTTTTCTACAAGAGAAAAAAAGTAAAACTCAGAAGGATAGATAGTTCAGATAAATCTATTGATATAGCCGTGAAATCCTTAGTCATTGCGTTCTTTTTCAAAGCTTCTGTTTTATATTCTTGATATTTCCATCTGCAAGTAAGTTATTTGGTCCAAGGAAAACTGAAAGATCCATTTAAGAACAGGATTGGGTTTTGGTTTGGTTCAGGTTCTTTCTTTGTTTTGTGCTGTTTTTTGTTGTGTTTGTTTGCAGGTTTGTTTGTTCACTATAGCTACACAATGTAAGCACAAGTCACAATCCATCAAAATCAACAAGGAGCAAGTCAGCTGTAGCTTTCAACTCAATATACACTGGGAACCGTGCACATGAGGTGAGCTGCACACGAATGCTTGCAATGTTTCTGTCTTGGTCAGTTGTGTACAGTACCACCAGTGTTTACCGAGATTAATCCTGACATGCTACTCTGGCAAGACCTGTCCCTGCCCTGGGAAAATGAAAGTAACTAACAAAAGCAAAATCAGATACACAGCATGATGAGTTTAGTAAGTTTTAATAAGAGATAATAACCACCATGTCTCTAGTTGCTGCATCCTTCCACGTATCCTCATAGCAGAAGCCAAAGCCCAAGAAAGATCTAAACAACAGCGGCAATCTAACCAAACCTCTAAACAACATCACTACTATACCTAGACATCCCATCACTATTTCCATAGATCCTTTTAACTTCTCATTTCACA